AGAATGACATTAAGCTGAGAGTGCAAAACCTTAGGAAACAAGTAATGATGATAACATTAACAATGATTTTGACGAGAATAATAATGGAGTCCTTTAAATCTAAATTAGTTACTTCCTCCACCAAAGACCCTCAAATCTCAATCACTTCAACTAAAGAAAAATCATAATTTAGAATTTTAATAATAAATATATTGTTTTCTTGGACCTTTCTTAAGTTTTTTTTTTTCCTTGTGTTTTATGCATGAAAAACAATACATCATGGTTCTTGCATGCAAAATGCAAGGGTTATAATATTGAGTTAGTTCATCCTCATCACACCAAAAATTGAGAAAGAATCACAATTCAGAGTGCTAGTAATAAACATTGTTTTCTTAGGCCTTTCTTAGGTTTCTTGCATTTTTCTTGTTTCATGCATGAAAATTAAAACAATCACATGTTCTTACAAGCAAAATATAGATAAAAATGTTTAAACAAAATGTATCATGCAATAAAGACAAAGGAATCAAACATAATCAACAACTTCAAAGGAAAACAAAGCAAGAGTATCAAAGAAATGATAAATCCATAAAAAATTGATGAAATTCTCGTATAAATTCCTTCTTAGGCTTGACGAGGGACGCTTATAGCCTCTATGCCACAAGAAAATCTTGTGGAAGGTGAATGTACTAAAAAAAAGTTTTGAATTGTGTCCCAATAGGTTCCTAAAAAAAAAAAACTGCAAAACCCCTTTCTTTAGAGTTTTGGAGTGAGAAAATAAAAGAATTTAAAATATTTTTTTAAAGAAATATATAAAGAATCTTCAAAATGAGAGAGAATGGTAAAAAAAAAATGAACTCAAATTCCTAAAATGAGAATCGCAACTCTTTTATATGTAAAAAAAATTGTATAATTTGCTTAACCATGTCTAAATTCACTTGAACAAATTTGGTGTTGTGTATGAATTACCACTTTAAACAATTTAATAAAGTTAATTTAGTACATTGTATTAATTGTCTCTTTACAAAATTTGCTAGTACAAATCAAAATTTGATTAAGTTAATTTGTTGCAAGAGATAGTCTTTTTCTACGTAAAATTCTCTTAAGCTAAAAAAAATTTATTTAAACCATTTTTTTCAATAAAAATTATATATGTATATTTATTTTTAATTTTAACTTTAATTTTTCCTTTTTTTCTTTTTTTATTTGTTTTCTTTTTTCTTTTTTATTTTTAGTTTTATTAGAAGCGGATAAAATTGAGTAGTTGAAGATTGAAACATTTATAAATGTGCAGGTCATAATATTCAGAAAAATAATAGAATGAGATTGAAAAGAAAAAACAAAAGAGAGACAGAAAGATACCAAATAAACAACAAGGTAGAAGATTAACTACTACATGATATTAATTACTTTAAAGATGGTTGAGTCAAAGAAAGATGCTTAAGAGTTAAGATGAGATGGAATAATAAAAAGGAAGAAAAGTGAAACTTGTCTAACTAAGAATTTCTTTTTGTGCAAGAGAAAATAAACGAGACCTAACATATTTGTAAATAATTCTTTTCTACGAAAACGGTGCAATTTTCATGCTCACAAATGAATAAAATTGAAGACAAATGGTGTAGTTCATCAATAAAACCAGTATTATTAAATTTCGATTTGGTTTAGCAGGTTGATTTGGTCTAACTAGGAATCAAATAAATACTTACATAATTATATTTTTATTAATTATATTTTTAATTATTATTCTCTGTCTATTATTTACTTAATTTTAGAGAGTTGCATTTTAAATAAATGATCATAACTTTTTTTAAAAATATATTATTTTAACAATAAAACATTTATTTTTAAATTTAAGTTATTTTCACCTAGATAAAATAATATTTCATTGTCATTTATTATAATTTTAGGATAAAAAATTCCTCAAATATTAAATTAATAAAAAAATTTATTTAAAATTTGTCAAAAATAATTATAAGCAAGCTAACGAGTCAAATTTAATTTTAAAACTTTTTAATTAAGTTAAACTCAAAATTTAAATTTAGCTTATTTTCAATATTTTTCATAAATCAAAACTTTAATTACTAAACTAGTTACTGAACTCTAGTGAACCAGTCCTAATCAAACCACATTTTCATCACAATGAGGAATCAATTCCAGTACAAAGAGCAGGTGATGAAACACATGCCCCATCTTTGCTACACACAAGTTTGCCAATATATATTAGCCATTTTAATAATACAAATAGTACTTGTGTTGCATGCTAAAAACTAAAATCCTAAAAATCATACAAGGCTTGTCAATGGGATTAAACCCCACAACTAAATAGAAGAGGAGAAGAGCTCATGTCAATCTACCACAACTTTCAAACGTTATAATGATGCCTATTTTGTATTTCTATTAATATACTTTTTTTTGACAAATGTTAATCAGTGTTTTAAGAACACTATTTAAAGAACTAAAAAAATTATTAATAAAATATAATAATATAATTATTTTACAATTTTTTAATGCGATTCAACACAATTTTCAATAAAATCCCTCGTCTTCTAATTCTTTAACAAGTATCATGTGTCTTAATAACACTAGTTACTAAGACTCAGTTTTATTTAACTAGTTCAACCAATAACCCTAATAATCTAGTGACTACTATCTTGACTAAGTCAATGACCAATTTAACCTTAATAACACTAGATAAAACACCGTTATATAAGTAAGTCATTCACTTATTTTAAAACTACTTTTTGGAAAAAAGTTATTTAATAACTTTTACAAAGTATTAATTTAATACAATTAACTGCTAAATCATATGAATTTATTTTGGTAATATACACATTAAATATTAGATAAAATATTAATTTTAATCTATATTTATTTATATTTTAAAATATAATATTCATTAAAATCAAGTTCATGTGAAAAAAATTATGATTGAGTTTAAAATGTTACATTGGTTTACAGTTACAAACTGAATAAACATAATAATTACTTTGTTGCTCTACCCATTAATATATGGACTTAATGATCTCAATAATACTTTTTTAATTACTTATTACCAAAATAAAATAAAATAAAAACTATTTTTTTGTCTGGGACAAATTTTTGCCACGTCAATCCATATTTCGTATAGAAGTTAGATGAAATTAATTTTTTATTTTTTTAATTAATCCAATTCATCTAAAAGAGAGATGAAATATCACATAATACAACACATGTTAGCTATTTCTATATAAGAGGCAAAAAAAACAAAAAAAAAAATTGAAATTTTGATTTTGCCGCTTGGGTGACACGTGGACCAATGAGGGACTTTCGTCCCTTATGCAGATGAAATAGTGGTTTCATTTGAATTAGAGATGAAATTCTCTCATTGGTCCACGTATAACCCAAATGAACGGTCATTGCGAAAGGCTCTTCTCCCTCTCCCCAATCTGGTTCAACAGCGGAAGCCATAGCCAAATTTCTCATTCATTTGTTTTCACAATTTTTGAGTGGGGAGGGTTGTTTTGTTCTTAATCCATTGCAGAACTGTGATTTGTTCCACTTCTATTGCCGGTTGTCATTGTTCTTAGACAGGACGGTTAAAGATATTAGGAAAACCGACAACCTGTTTTGCTGTCATCTACAACGGAGAAGAAAGGTAGAGGTGGTCGCCAGAGACAAGCCACACACTGCATAAAGTACCATTGTCACTGAGGTCCTCCATTGTCGGAAAAGTGTGCTTGTTGGAAAAAACTACACCATGTATTTAAATTTTTATTTTATGTATTTAAATTTTTTTATAATTCATATTTTATTGAATAGAAAAATAGTGATAATTATGTTTAGATTAAAAATGATTTTAAATTTATTTTAGTAATTTTATAGAAATATAAAATTAATTTTAATTTATAAAAAATAAAAGTTTGCATGTAAAATTATTATAGTAATTTAAAGTGTAAATTTAAAATCAAATAAAAATAAATTAGATTAATTAAATACAATAATAAATTGTTAAATAATATTTAAAATAGAAAAATAAAAATAGTTGTATAAGATTGGTTGATTAATAATATAACGAATGATAATTAGAAAATATATAAATATGAAAATAAAAATTTTGTATTTAATATTAATCAACATAAAAAAATGTAAATTGATAATTCTTTTTATGATTAAAAAAAATTTAGACAATTATAAAAAAACTATAATAGTAAAAAATTGAATGTATTATAATTGACTATATACTAATTTATATTCAAATTAGAGTAGTAAATATTTAAGATTAAAAAATTGAAAAATAAATAATTTAATTAGTATTAATTAATTATGATAAAATAACAAATTTACTTATGTAGTTTAAATGTTTGAAGTGATAATAATTAGTTTAGAAAAATAATTATAATTATTTAATTTAATTTATGATGAAATAATAAATATACTTATTGAATTAAATTTTTATATTGATACTAATTAGTTTAGAATAAAAAATGTTAAACATATAATATAATTTTCAATAAAATAAAAAATTTAGTATATTTGAATTATGTTATTAGTTGAAAAAATATTTAGTAAACTTAAAATAGAAGCAAAAAATAAATTTCATTAATAAAGGTCATTCATATATTTAGGACAAAAATTTAGTTTAAAAATTAGTTTTAAAAAGCTACAATTATTTGAGAAATGTTAAATTATGAACAAATAAAAACTTTATTAATTAATATTTTAAATTGAATGTGAATAATAGAAATTTAATAAATTGTTAAAATATTTATATTTTATATTTGAATAATGTGATTATGTAAGAACATTATTATATTATAGTTGATGTATGTTATTAATTTTTTTATATAATTAATATTAAAATTTGAAATTTTAACCATGTTGTTTTGATAACTTAATTAGTAGTAATTCTTATACACAAAATATGAAAATTATAATAAATATTGTACTAACAAAAAAAAATTGAATTTTTTTTAGATGGCTTCTTCTTCAGGACAGAATAGGATCATTTATCTTGGACCAGAGGACCTTCATTATTGCTTTTATAGATGATTCATGTATCTGAACATATTTGGGATGGTCGGGTTCATCCTATTTTGAAGGTTAGGAAGAGCCAATTTATACTAGCTAGTTTAGATGGTGTTCCACAAGAGATCCTTCCACATTTAGAGCTTGCGGGATTTACTAGAATTGCTCACGTATGTCAGTTTCCACTAGACCTCCCATTGATCATTGCATTAATAGAGAGATGGAGGCCAGAGACACACATTTTTCACTTGCCTCAAGGCGAATGTACGATCACTTTGCAGGATATATCTGTGTTGTTAGGTTTACGGATTGATGGAAAACTTGTGATAGCACCTATTGGAGGTAATTATGCTGATATGGTTGAGGAGAGCTTAGGAATTCGACCAGAACATGATGCTTTTGTTGGTAGCTTCTTGAAGATGAGTTGGTTAAATCAACATTTTACTCATGTTGTGATGCATGCACATAGTCCTTTACATATCACCCGATTTGCTAAGTCTTACATATTGCGGTTGATTGGGGGTTTTATGTTAAGCGACCACTCCAACAGCAGAGTCTCAGTCAGGTACTTACCTCTACTAGAAGATTTTGTGGTCACCGGTGAATATAGTTGGGGGTCTGCAGTATTGATCGACATGGTTTAGGTGAATTAGCTGCATTACTTGTTATGTGAACATGGAATAGGTTTCCATTTTTAGCTCTTAGTAACCCCCTACACAGGAGACCATCTTCCATATGCTACTGGTAATTGTAAACATTTATTTGTTCAATTTTAATTAACATACCTTCAATATTAACATTATATGTAAAATTTTGCAGGTGGTTGGCAAACCAAAGGAATAGAAAGGGGAGGAGAGACGTTGCGTATTTTGACATGCTTAGTCGTGAAAAGATAACCATTGATTGACATATGAAATTTTTGTCATATTGTACTTTTCTTCTCATTTTGAAATATGACTTGAATATTTGTGATTTATTTGCAGATAATTTGGCAACCATATTCTGTTGAGCTAATTCATTCGTTGCCACCTATATGTTGTGAGGGAATGGATTTGTAGAGAGTTGTAGTGCCTCTTATATGTTTTCAGGTGTGTGAGTGGCACTAACCAGATTGAGTCATACGGCAATTTGATATGGTTCAACATATACCTCGTGGTCCATACCAACCAGATGCACTACATGACTTGACACTGAGATGGAAGACATCTGAGAATTGGCAAGAGAAGCTTAAGGATGTCTTATACATTTGGGAGAGAAGGAGAGATTGGGTTATGACAAATGACCCCCATATTGGTTTGCTAAGTTCCAATTCTGAGTATATGCAATGGTATAGAGCTCACACTAGACGTTGAATGACAAGGGACGCAGCTGTCTCATCACTACTTGTAAGTATAATAAAGTGTATTTAAACACATGATTCTACTTTCCAGTTATGTTTGTTATTGATATTGTATTAAAACAAATGTTTATATAGGGTGATGATCTTGAGCGAGCCTACTACTTGATGACTGATGGCTATGATTCATTCACTTTTGATGAAATGCGAGACTTGTGTCAGTTTATGCTAGTTTTAAAGAAATGTTAGTTTTAAAGAATGATATGGACCGCATTATGGAGCCTATTTCTTCATCTGAGCCTCTCATACAGAGTGGAAATACTGATGATCCAGTTATAGATGTGGGTCAACCTAGGGATCGTAAAGAAGGCATAGGATTACAAAGTAGATGCATAAAGGTACAAGCGATAAAGTGGTCTCTTTCTCCCATTCCTGAGCATCCTGATGGAGAGTTTTATGTTCCATCGCAATTTCCTTTCCACACACAACATTGAGGTCTTTCATTGCATCCTCTCTACGCTTCACAAAATATTCAACCATTCGTCCATAAGTGCATTTTATCATAGCGGTTATAGGTAAGTTTCTTGCCCCCTTCTATACCTTGTTAATTACCTCTGACAAATTCGTGGTCATGTGTCCATAACGACATCCTTCATTGTCGTGACTCAATGCCCATTTTTCCTTTGATATGTTATCAATCCACCTCTGTACTTCTCGTGATTCATTGCAAAATCTTCTAAACTTTTCTTCGAATACAACCTTCGAAAGTATATATGCTGCAATGTACAAGAAGTCATTATAAAACATATAAAATAAATATATGAAAAGAGGAACACAAAAGGCATTACATTTTGTTACCTAATTTTGTCAGCTGTTTTTTCAATTCAATGTTCTTAAATCTATGATTGAAATTGCTCGCAATATGATGAATGCAATAAACATGAAATGCATAGGAGGTTGACATTCGATATGTGGGTTTGAAACAACACTTACGATGCTTTGATGCCTATCAGATATTAAACATATTCCTGTCTTTGTTGTTACGTGCACACGGATCATTGCCAAAAATCATTCCCATACTAACAGAGTCTCTCCTTTAACTATAGCAAATGCAAGTGGTAGTACACAATTATTCCCATATTGAGCTGTTGCAATCAACAATGTGTGACGATACTTACCATACAAAAAAGTTTCATCCACCTGAATAATAGGTTTGCAAAAGTTGAATGCTTCCTTGCATTGATTAAAACACCAAAACAATCGTTCAAAAACTCTAAATCTGTTGTCCTCTTGATGTCCAACAACAAACGACTTCGTTTCAATCTTATAAACAGACCCAGCAGCAGGAAATTGCATGTACTTTAACCATTTTGACAATATAGCATATGATTCATCCCAGTCACCAAATATTCTTATAATCGCCATCTGTTTTTCCTTCTAGGCCTTTTTGTATGAAATTTTATATCCAAATTGAGTTGTCATCCTTTCTTGAATTAGACTTATAAGCAATGATGGTTCAAGATTAACCATCCCTACACAAAACACAACATAATAGGTAAGTAACTTTATGTCTCATAAGGCTTCACGATATATGATGTTATGGAAACTTTCATAAATATAATAAAAACTTACCAATGATGTATGAACAGATCAAATCTGAATCTAGCTTGGTATGGTCTTGAGATATTGTAGGGTTGAGACACGTATGTTTACCCCCACACCTTGTTATTTTTCATTTTGTTGATTTTTTAAGCAATGATGCTCTTATTCTCCATGGACAACCATTGTTATGGTTTAAACACCTCACATGCAATTTTGTTGGTTTTGATTCAACAACAAAATAACTCTGATATATTTTTATTGCATTTTGTTTTAAGGCATTTTTAACTTCATCTTTTGACTTAAATAATAAACCTACATGTAAGGGATCTCCAATAACCCATGATTGATCTTCCCTAATTTCTTTAGCTTTAATTTCTTGGTCTGTGTGTTCCCAATTAATATAATTATAGTATGGACTTGCTTTCCATAAAGGTATTTCACCTACACCTATATATAAACAGACAACCATTATTCATTATTATAAAATTTTATAATTTAATCAATATACTCTTTAACTAACAATACCTCCAATATTTTCTTGTTGTAAATTTAAGTTTGAATCAAAATCATCATTCACGTTTGTATCTGATGAGCTGTCTAACGGAATATGTCCTTCATCAACATCATCATCACCATCACTATTGACTTCTTCATCTTTATCCTCATCTTTATCTTCATTTTTATAATTGCATAAATTTGCATATCCTTCAAAATACATACACTTATTCAATATTTTTCGTCGGTAAAAATAAATTAATATTCATAATAATAATTTAATTTATACCTTCTGTATCATTTATATTGACCATATCCATAAAGTTAGGCGGTGACATTGATAAGCTTAAGTCCAACATATTTGAGTCAACTCTTGAACTCTCACCAAATGCAATATCCACATATAATTTGATAACAGTTGTAATACTTTGTTGTTAATACGCACTAATCATATAATTAATATATTCATCATCACATATATCAAATACAATGTATTGTTTAACACTTGAATCAACCATAAAACGAGAAATTATTCTAGATATGAAATGATTATTACTAAGATTCAACTTGTCATGAATCTTTTTTTTTCAAATTCATAAAACTTATCCCTCTTCTTATCTTTATCATTTTTTTGTTATCTTCAAATGTCACACTTTCATTTCCAACAACAATTTTTTCATTCTAATATACAATAACAATAATCTCACTCATTCTGCATTTATAAAAAATATACAATATTAATAAACAATTGCAATTATACTTATTTATATAAATAATCAAATTAAATTATTATTAAAACATACAAACATACTACTCATTTCACATATTTTATATTACAAAAAAATTAATATTTTACATATGTATTCCACATATATAAACTAAATATTCACAACAAATATATCAATTTTAACATCATAATAATATTAAACATTTACTAACATAATTTTTTTTATTTTTTTAACAATATCTAAAAAGTTAATTTTTAATTCCAACATATACAAAAATACATTTACTAAGTACTGATCAATTTTAATTAACAAAACATTTCAATTTTAATAAATTATCAAAAATACAAAAATTTCACCAAAAATTTCAAAATTTATAACTAACCTTACAATTTTTTTGAAAGTCTTCCAAATCTTTGATTTCAAGCCTTTCTTCGTTTCAATCTTGATCCAGCGAGGGTAGGATTATATAGCCAAATTTTTTTGGATATTAGAGTGTAGCCGCTGCTGCTCATTGTCTTAGGGGTAATATGAACTTTGTCTCATATAAAGATGAAATTCACAAGATTTACACAAGTGTCGTCATCTTAATATTTTATCTGCATCAGGGACGAAAGTCCCTCATTGGTTCACGTGTCATCCAAGTGGCAAAATCAAATTTCAAATTTTTTCTGCTTTTTGTCTTTCTTATATATGAAATAGCTGACACATGTCATATTATGTAGTATTTTGTCCCTCTTTTAGATGAATTAGATTAATTAAAAAAATAAAAAATTAATTTCATCTGACTTCTGTACGAAACATGGACTAACGTGGCAAAAATTTGTCTCAGAGAAGGAATTAGTTATTTTTTTGTTTTATTTTAGTAATAAGTGATTAAAAAAGCATTATTAAGGTCATTAAGCCCTAATATATGTCCCCTTTTCTTTCAATAGAGGTATCAAAATATGCTAGTTAGTCTCAATTAGATTGTGCTTTTACAGCTTATATGATTTTCAAAATGGGTTAAACTAGAGTCATTATTATAATATTGAAATTTACTATCTTAGCCCAACTTTTGCAAGTTGTAGGCCGAATGAGCTAGCAGCCCATTAACTTTGTTTTTCTTTTAAAAAATCATCTTAAATTTTTGCAGACTAAAAATAACTTGTTAATTATAGACCAAAAATTTAAAGTGAAAAAAAAGTGTTCAATTTAATAAGCGCAAAATTTATTATTTATAAAAACTACTAAATGAAGTAATTTTAATTAAAGCAACTCAATTTTGGCTTTAATAAGTTAAAATTAAAATAATAAATTAAATTATTTTTTTAAATAATAAGCTAATTGACTAACTTATTTTAGGGAAATTAAATTTTGAGTGAAGTTTAGTGAAAATTCAACAAGGCTAAATTATGTCAAATCTCTGGTTGATCTATTGACTCTCCTCTCCCCTTTTTTCAATAATTAATGGGTGAAATATCCATTAATTTTTAAATATATTTTTTTATAAACATAATAAAATCTTTTTAATTGAATAATTAAGTAAATAAAATTTTATATTCATAATAAATTATTAAATTCATGGTCAACTTTGGTATACATATATAAAATTTATAAATAATTAACACAATTACACTGAGACATAAACTCAATATTATAAATTAAGATGAAACAGTCTCTTTTTAATTGATTCACGTGCATAATTAGTGGTTAATTCTTACAATTAATTTAAGTATATAAAAATATTTTTTATTATACTTTAATATTATAATTTTTTTTAAACATTTACTCATACTTAAATCAGCTACTATAAATAAATTGTCATTTAATAACACCTAGAAATTATTGAACATTATATTAATTTTGTAGTCTTTATTTATCCAAAAAATAAATTGACTATATTTGATAACAATAATTA